AGAAAAGCCCTTCAGTGTTCTTCATCGGCGAAAGGAATTATGGAGAAAGCTCAGTGATAAATGAGGTCTGGTTTACCGGTTAACGAAAGCAGCAAGACAGTAGAAGAAAAATTTATCTTCCAAATCGGCATTCTTAATCCCCACGGTATCAACGAGCGCTTTTTATTCAACTAATTTATTTTTATTTTCTCTTCTCCATATTCCCACCAATAATATAGCTCCAACACACAACCCACAATTCCTCCAATCGCTCTGACGAAGGGTTTACGCTCGAAACGTCAGTCTTTAAACTCTATACAGTGGTCAATTTACGTTTTTAACTCAGTTCATAACACTGAATTACCTGTTTACCTTTCTTTGTGGACTGTGAACGAAACATGGCAGCAAAATCATTTGTTGGACTGCTGATATTTGCCCCGTGCTTGGTAACAGGTATGAATTTCCAACAAAAACAACCGAAACGACCAAAATGAAACGAACTCGTTTCGATTATAGTTTACTCCTGATCTACCTTTCGGGAAAACGTAGTTGTTACTCGATTGCCATCGGCTTGGGTTGGCTTCTGAAACAAGGTTACACAATATAATTTTCTTAAATGCGAGAGAATATCTGATGTGAAATGTACATTTTCCTCGGAATTTCATCGTCCGTTCTTCTCGATTGTTGTAGTGGTTTGTTTTAGTCGTTACGGTCGTTTCGTTTCGATCGTTTCGTTTTGGTCGTTTCGGTTGTTTCGTTGCGGTCGTTTTGGTCGTTTTGGTAGTTTCGCTTGTTTCGTTTCGGTCGTTTCGTTTCGCTGTTTCGGATTTTAGTACATGCCAATGAAACGACCGTAAGTTAAGTAAAAACAGTTATTTTACGTTAGTTGGTTTATTTCTATTTGTAGTTTCCTGTTTGCAGTGCTACCAATGTAGCCGTGAAGACAATAACGACGCTGAGGAACATTGTGCGTTATCGTCATCCTCTGTACTAGGCAACAACACAAAAATCAATTGCAGTGCAGGTGAAGATCATTGCCTGATTACGAGAAGATTTACGAAGGAAAAATCTGTTGACCTGTTTACACGGAAGTGCGCTGATAAAAGCGAGTGTCACAACTCCTGTACAGATCCTGATGAAAGGGGAGTGAAAATCTGCGACCAATGCTGTGAAGAAGATCTGTGTAACAAAGGAATGGGACCTCCATTACCGCTGTCAAGGACGTCAAGGATTCAGATGACGACGGGCCTGTCTTTGGCTTTGGCTGGGTTATTACTGCTTTGGTTCTTTTAAATGGAATTCTTCATCGGAGACCCTAGTTTCCATGATCCATTTTCCACTTTGATCTTGGTTTGTTTTGGTTCGTTTTGTTACATTCTGTATTTCTCTTTTCTTTTTTTTCAGTCAGTAAATTGTAAATTGTTTAATTAAGAGTTAAAATCAACGTATCGAATTTTCAATATCCATAGACTAGTCTATATGGAGCGAATTTAGTTAAATCTCTTTCCAGTGATCATGAATGATTATTTAGCCTTCATCTTTGTGTAATGAATTATTTTCTTGTAAGCAAAATGGCTGATTCTGTCTACTCAAGTTACCATGTGAGTTCTGGCATCCGAAAACTTTGATCTTTCGTATTTTCACGTAGATATATTCAAAGAACCTTCTTTTCAGTTTTTTGTTGTTGTATCTACTGTGCCTCCATTCCGGATGATTCAGTTTTGAAGAGTTTGGAAGCGTGTGCACAATCCACTTAATGTGTTTCGTTTTTCTTAGTGGTGATTCCTTGTCTTAAATAATGTGATTTTGTGCCATCAAACATTCAACAAATTTGAAAGCGAAGGACACTTCGCCTGGCCACGAAGATTCATGTTTCTTCATCTTGAGTGCATTGTAAGGTGACCAGTGAGGCTTATAGGAAAGTTTTGTGGAAAATAAATGGAAAATTCGTCGGATACGTAAGATATAAAGCTACAATTTATTGATTTGAATCAAAATTTCAGCTACTTTGCATTTTAAGAACCTTACAAATAATAACAGTGATAATCCGAACTAAATTATTGTTGGGATAAGGGGAGGAGAAAAATTAAAATTATTATTTTAACTCCTAACACTAGGGAACGTCCCTGTATGACTGCCCCTTTCCCGTCATTACTTTGCTTTCTATTTATTTTGATCTGCAGTCGGTAGAAGTAAAATTTGAATCGGAGCCTTTGTTTTCAGAAGATAATGCGGCCGCTAAATTCCCTCCACTGAACAACCACCTAACACCAAATGGCGTGACTCAAAGATGCTAAATGTCACGACTTGAAATATGACAAAATTATAACCAAAAATAATATCACGGAAACCGGCTAGCATTTAACTTGATGTTTTTCATCTCAAAGAGAGTTATTTCAAACTTACACATGACAGTTAAATCTTTCGAACTATTCCACAAATCCCATTTTCACCAATCTAGTGCCGCCCCTATAAGTGATGAGGGTGCGTTGTTTACATCCGGCCTCGGGAAAATTCTTAGAAATCACGAGGGCAAACCTGATAAAATTTAGTGGCTGATGTTCCTTCATGCCTCAAATGCTAGTCAAAGTTAGCCATGCCCAGGCACTCAAAGACTCTACATGAAGCCATCAATGATTTCAAACACTACTCTGATCGAACGACCCTTTTGTACGAGCGAACTAAAAATGCTTTGATGAGATCGAGGAACCTATTCATCTCGGTCAACAGGCAGGCTCTGAAAATTTGATTGCCTCCTCGCAGTTAAATGAGGAGGAGAGAACTTAGGAAGACACCGTCTTTGATCTTCATCGGCGAAAGAAATTGCGGCAAAAGCTCTATAATTAATAAACTTCTAAAACAGACTAACCGACCAGTTCACGAGAACCCTTGCTCGTGCGAATCAAACACGCGGATGAGTTGAGCGCAAGGCTCGTTCAAAGACAAAAAACTTTGAAGTGGTCTCAGGCAAAGGCAGAGAGAATCCAAAGCTTTAGACGCTACTGTCAAGGTCGGATTAAACCACGAGCTTCTGAAAAGTGGAATCGAGTTGATGGATTCACCTGGAAAGAACAAGACGGACGTGTCGGACAGTGTTGGAAGATTTCCTCGAGAAAAACACAGTTCCTCTTTTTGTGTACGTAATTGAAGGCAAGATGCGTCTCAGACCTTCGGTAAGTTTAACTTCATGTATTCTAAATGTAACTAGTCACAGGTACAGGAAAGATACGTCTTGGCAGCGTTGTTTATCTAAACTTTGTTTACCATACCAACTCGTAATGTTTGCAACATGTCCAAACATAACCTTGTGTTTTCGAATTAAGAGACGGCCTTAATTTCCTTTCGATTGTATATAGAATACGGTTGTGGCAGTTTTTGAGATAGCTTCGCTAGTCGTAAGAACGTGACTCGGAACCCCAAAACAACCATTGTCTTTTGGTTTTCAGTGTACCCGGAAGGTACGATCAGGTTTCGAAATACGATATAATTTTTGTCGAGTCAGGCGACTTAACTAACTTTCTTTTGGTTGGGGAAAGAGGAGGGGAATAAAAAACTTTTTTTCTTTTGGCCTTTATAATAATTGATTCAGCAGCAATGCTTTAAGGTATTTCGCTTGTGTTACTCTTGAAAAATACAGTACATGGAAATTGCTGCAACCAACTACCAGTATATCCATGTGTGTCTAAATGAAAGGAATTTTCCAGGGGAGTTCCTGGGCTCATACAGATATAAATTGACCTTGTCACATCAGCATAGCCCAGTGATATAGGGGATCATGCAGTTAATTATTTCTGTCTTGCACTAATTCACCTGAACTGAGGATGGTCAAGCCCTGTAATCAATCTTGCCTATCCGTAGGTGTCATTCAAACTAATTAAGTCTTCCAGAGCTCAAAAACATGGGTCACTGTTTTCCATTAATCTTGTTTCAGAGGTTGGCTTCATGTAATTTTCCAAAGGCCTTACAAGTTTTGTTTTCCAACTTCTTGTATCAAGGTAATCGAACCGGTTAGAAAATGCTACGCTATTATAGTAGTTGGGGTCAGGCCTTTAAAATTATGGAAAATCATATCCTGTTAGGGGTATATATGTTTGAAAGAGCAAAAACATAAGCAAAGTAACCCTGAAAAATAAATTGTATGCTATATATTTAACCCTTTAACTCCCACAAGTGACCAAGACAGAATTTCTCCCTACAATATCGATACAATATCAAGCAGACAAGTGATGAGAATAAAGAAAAGTATCGGTTAAGGGATTAAAAGTTGATTCAATACCAAATTCTCCAAACTAACATCATAAGAACGTAAGGAGAATTACTGATGAGATCTCGGGAGTTAATGGTTAATTCATAGGGGCTGTCAAATCATAGGTGCAGATTTGGAGGAGAAGGTTTAAGCAGTTTAGCAGGTTTGAGGCCTGACATGATTCTTTGCTAAATGTTTAGGAGAAGACCACCGCTAAAAATTGCCTAAGGTTTAGGGTTCATAATTTTACTGCCTACATACTATCAACTGACATTTCAGTAGATAAGTCAATGTTAGCATTATGAAAAGCAATAGAGAAGGGATGAACCCTCTTTTAACCAAGGGGTGTTTCTTTAAAGGAAAAAATTCACATTGTGTATGGCAAAAATTATACACCAATTATATTTCCATTCAGTTTTAAGCACACCAGTTTCCTTAACCCATTAACTCCCAGATCAAATTTGTAATTCTCCTTACTGTCAACCATATAATTCTTATAATGTTAGTTCAGAGAATTTAGTATTGGATCAACTAATTATCCCCAAATTGATATTTTTCTCTATTCTCATCACTTATCTGGTTGATATTGTGGTGATATTGTAAGGAGAAATTCTGTCTTGGTCACTCATAGGAATTAAAGGGTTAAATGATTCTAGATCTCTTAGTGAAAGCTGCAATTAGGAATAAATATGTACTTTTACAATGGTCCAGAATCTTATATTGCTTTCAAATAAGAAAGATCAGTACTCACTTGAACTGCAATTTTTGCTCCCACCAAAAGCGCAAAAACATTAGTGAAAACCAATGTTTTCCTCATTACTTTTCATCTTATTAACATTGAGGAATGTCCTGATTCAAGAATGACTCTAAGTAAAAAAGCTTTGAAGAAATATGAACTCTTAACAGCGAGCAATTTTGTGAGGGCGTATTCTTTTTGTAGATGGAACTTTGCGCAAACTCTTACTAGGCCTCACATAGCCAGAACCTTGTCTGCCAAGCTTGTACATTGTATTTGACTAAAAAAGCATAAAACAATTGATTTTTATAATATTTTGTTAGTTTCATTTTATTTTAGTCATTCTCTTTTAAAACATGATTTTCCACGATCCATAGGCTTCCCGAGACTAATGATAAATGCTCATTTCATTGAAATGTAGATTATTACGCAGTAATAATCCTGAGATGATATTAATTTTTTTTGTTTTTTTCATTTCAATTTAAGGATATAACAACATAATCCTTTTTGAAGGATAAATCTCCTCAATCTTCCATCATTTTTGTCTGTAATAAAGTAGACATTGAGGCAACAGGACCGGTTGACGATGATGACGACGACGATGATGATGACGACGACGATGAGGAAGATGAAGAAGACGAGGACAACGAGAGAGATGGGAGCAGCGAAATTGAGGGCATAAGTGAGAAACAAAACAAAGAGGAAGTTGTCTTCAATCAGCTGAAGAGCAGGGACTTCATCACAGGAGAATCTAGCAAAACGTGCGACTTATTCCATACCATTTCTGTAAATTCTTCAAATTCTTCAAATTCTTCTCGCTCACATCATGAAAACACAGACTTAAAGGATCGTTCAAGCCCTCCTGGTTTTACAAGAAAGCTTTGTGAACGTTGTCCAGCTGCAAAGATCCCAAATCACTCAGGAAGCATTCATCGTACCAGAAATTACGAGACAGGCGTGCCAGATAGAAAGTAAAATGTTCGACTCGTTAAAATCCTTTACATCCAGTGATTCCGAGGATACAAAGCAGAGATTGCAGGAGCATATAAAGTCGTTTAAGGAAGAATTTTCTCAGGATGCTTTACATTACAAAATTCCAAACCAGCGTACCATGCCAAAGAAAGCTCAGACTATAATCAAGACAGATCTTAAAGTTGCATTTTCGCCCGAACAATTATCAGAAATGAACAGGGAGGACTTTATTTTGGAGCGATTTCTCGGTGATATGAAAGGTGTTTCTATCAACCATGGAATTTCTTGGTTTGTTTGTCTAATTTGATGATTCATGTTTTTTAAGATATTTTAGGAAGCTCACGGTTTTTCCTTTCAGTAAGTAAGTACCGTAATAGCATCACACATTTTCCGAGTTTTCTTGAGTGCTTCTGCCATAATTTATCACCAGAATGGGAAGATTTGAAAAGACTCGCACTGTTCATGTTTTGTTTTGTTGCCATCAAACCAGACTTATAACATTCGACTCACAATCAACTCCTTACTTAGCTCTGATGATGACTTTGCAAGTTTTTTGCTACTTAAGTCACTGTTATCAGTGAAATTCTTTTTGGGGACTCTCCTTAGCTGGAAGATCACAACACGCGATCGTTTGGTTTGTTTGTTTGCTTGTGCATTACTAATCTTTGCTTTTGCTCATGCAATCATCTAAACTTTTGATTACCGTGTAAAAAGACTGCAAGCAGCAGTGGAAAATGGAATTCTACTATGTAAGGATGATAAAGAATTCCAGATTCCGCCAGTGAGTGAAGCGTGTTGGAGCTTAATGACAAGGTGCTGGGAGGACAGAGCATCCATGACAAGGGATATTATTATTACTGATTTAAAAGCCATAAGGGAAACAGTAGAAACCCGTTAACTCAATGGTGATGTTGCTTGAACTTCCCTAAGCAACATCACCATGTTGTTAATCGAATAGAGTTAAGTTTATCAAGAGCTGTTATAATTGTGCGCTATAAAAGTAGAATACTAAAGAGTAATATAAAGCAGAAAATGAAGCGTTGATATTTCTTTTTGCTGGCTTGAAATGAAAAATAATAATATTAATAATAAGGCAAAGAAAACGCGTGGAAAAACTGATTAATTGCTTTCATTAAACAATGGCGATTTAAGTTCTA